CACCCCAGAGTCAGACATGACTGGACTTCATGTCAGAGGAAAACCTTTAACTAGGAAAATTGTGGAAGATCCCGGGTGGGAGAAGGAACTGTCTGTTGGAGGTAGGTATGAATGTTTCAATTGGCCACCTTGATTAGCATTTCGTAACCTGACAGTTTTTAGGGAGAATCCTTTGTTGAGAGGTGATTAGCTGGCCCTGATTGTTTCTTGTCTGGAGTTCCCCTGTGTTTGAGTGATGTTCTTTATTTACAGTTATAATTTTAGAGGTTTTTTTTTAATACTAGTAGCCAGATTTTGTTCAGACTAGAAAGAGGAAGATTCCCCATTCTCTGCCTAAAGAGGGCTGGAAAGAACCCCCTCCCTCTAAGGGCCCTTCCACACCGCAAAATCAGATATCTGCAATGTGCAGAGAAATTTTTTTATTGATTTTATCCAACGGTCTGAGGGATAGTGAACTGCCCCCGGTTTTAAAAGTTTGAGGACCCCTGCTCTAGAACATGGCCATATAGCCTGAAAAAACCTACAACAACCCACGGAAACCTTTGCCTTTACTCCAATCTTCTTATGCTTGATTTCTTTTCTTTCGTCCCTGCAGACAGACTGCTTCTTGGCACCCACCTGTGATCTCGGCCACTGCAAGCCCTTGGCTTCGAAAGGGAAAACCCGTCTCCCCAAATGGCAAGGTTCCTGGATTTCATCCTCAACCACTGTTTGGCCACCTTATTCCTCTCTGTGTCCCTGAGCCAGCTGACCTTCGCCCAGGATGATGGGCTTCCAAAGCCGCACCCGGACGGTGGAGCCAGCACTCCCAAAATCCAGGTCCGTCTGGTAAACTCCAAGACGGGGCCCCACGAGGGGCGATTAGAGATCTTATACAACTCGGAGTGGGGCACCGTGTGTGACGACGACTTCTCCATGAACAACGCACACGTGGTCTGCAGGGAACTTGGCTACAGGGAGGCCATCTCCTGGATGCCTGGTCCCAAATACGGCCAGGGAGAAGGTAGGTCCTTCTGTTGGGTTTCGTTTCATTTGCCTTTCTTTGTCCCCTTTGTCTTCCTTTGGAGCGAAGGATGCACAGTTTGGAGCAGGCGTGAGCAAACCTGAGCCCTCCAGGTGTTTTGGACTTCAACTCCCACCATTTCTAACAGTCTCAGACCCCTTCCTTTCCCCCTTCAGCCATCGAAGTCCAAAACAACTGGAGGGCCCAAGTTTGCCCATTCACAGTTTGGAGAAACTGGGGTTCACTTGCTGAAAACACCTGTCTGTGTGCTCCTCCTCACCAATAACATTTCCCATCTGATGTTAAGGTCCAGCTGCATTCATTTCACAATGTAGATGCACCCAGGGAAGGTTCATTATATTACAAC